GGTCTCTCAAGTATCCAGGTCCAATACCATGAAGGGCTTTATAAGTTACGACTAGCACTTTGAATCGTGGGCCAGTCGTTCTCTCTCAGCCCTAAGAAGCAAGCAATGGAAAACAGCTTCTGAAACCTTGGCAAGAAAAGTCCAGGGACTAGTCCAGGCATGAGTCAACACTGATGCAAAGACACACACACACACACACACACACACACACACACACACACACACACACACACACACCATTCTGTGAGACATCTTGTTCACACTGTGTTAAACCATATTTTGATTAACAAACCGTTAAATGGCTAGGTCCATTAACAGATGACGCCCATAAAACCATAACAGCCAAGACCATATAACAGTGATGGCGAATCTTTTCCGCACTGAGTGCCAAAAAGGGAGTGCACATGAACGCATGGGACACTGAGTGCAGAAAGGGGAGCACTTTGCAGGCATCTGAGCCACAACTAGGAAGAGGAGCTGCCCAGGGGCCATGCGCGTGCTGGAAAATGAACTTCTGGCCAGCAAGTCTTCCGGTTACTGCCACGCATGTGCATGCACCAATCAGCTGGCCAGCATGCATGCTCACCATGGAAAATGGAAGACCAGCTCTTCCAGTTTCTGACACTGCGGGATGCAAAAAGGCCAACTGATCGTCACCCGCGCATGCAAGCCAGAAACCTGGAAGAGGAACAGGAGATGCCACGCGTGCCAGGCAACATGGTTCCGTGTGCCACTTTGGGTTCGCCATCATGGCCATATAACATTATAAGAGTCATGGTGGCGGAGTGGTTAGAATGCAGTACTGCAGGCTACTTTTACTGATTGCCAGCTGCCAGAGGTTTGGCAGTTCGAATCTCACCAGGCTCAAGGTTGATTCAGCCTTCCATCCTTCCGAGGTCGGTAAAATGAGGACCCAGGTTGTCGGGGGCCATATGCTGACTCTGTAAACCGCTTGGAGAGAGCCGTAAAGCACTGTGAAGCGGTATAGAAGTCTAAGTGCTATTGCTATTATAGGCAAAGGGTAAACAAAATACCTTACAGTTTAGCAGGAGAGTTAGACATGTTTTAAAGCCATTGTGTAACTTTGCAGAGTTTTAAGTATTTGGGGGGCCAAAGTGTTATAAGGTCTCCTGTAATCACAGATAGATCTTGCAAGCTTTGACTGTCCATTTTGGCCATTGTGGCTGCTGGATAATATCTAGACCTATTATGGCCGATTTGTAGCAAAATCAAGCCAGACTGGCAGTTTGACCTGAATGTCCAGAGGAGCCAAATCAAGCCATCCAATGTATCCTTCTCCACCTCATTTTCCAGATCCAAAATCTGGGGCTCTTCATTTACAGAAGGAATCTTATTCCTCTTTGTGCATTTAGGATTCGGCCTCTTCCATTCGGCCTCTTCCATCTTTCTTCCTGTTTCTCCTTTCTGAATTAACATGATTATTCCTTAGCTTTTTGACAGATGCTTTCAAAGAAAGTTAATGTTCCTCCTTTTCTCCAAGAGGTTTATTATTCAGCCATGTGGCTGAGGAATTTTGGACTTGAAGTCCACATATCTTAAACTTGCTGTGATTGAGAAACACTGGCTTTGTTGAATTGCTTACCACTGCATTTTTTTAAAAAAACCTGGTTTTATCCCTTACTAGCTGATAACCTGGCATTGCCCAGGTATTTATTTATAGGGTGAAAATGTCCAGACCAAAACTTAATTTCTAATGTTGGATTTTCCCCCTTACCAGAGGGAGCCCCCCTGTGGAGTACTGTAAAGCCGTTCGCATGGCAACTCCACTGCACTGCACAGTAGAAGCTATTTTACAGCAGTACAGTAGAAACCATTTTAAGCCACAACAGGCTGTATCTTAACAGAACACACATCCCGAGCGGTGTTAAGGATGTCTTACTCCCACAGTATTTTTTTCCAGGGAGTAAGTTATCTGTGTACCAAGTTTGGTTGAAATTTCTCAAGGTGTTCCAGAGTTATGGATGGATGGATGGATGGATGGATGGATGGATGGATGGATGGATGGATGGATGGATGGATGGATTTTTGTAGAGTAGATCTGACTTCAATATGTGTTTGACTTTAAATGCATGAATTGTATATTTTGAAAACTCTTTTCACATGCCCTGTAGAAATCCTAAAGGAAAACTGTGGACAGTTGTGACTCTCTCTTCTCTTGTCTGTTTCCTGCTCTGCAAGGTGTCTCCCCAAGAGATGGTTCAGGAGATCCACCAAGTTTTAATGGACCGTGAGGATACCTGTCACCGAACGTGTTTCTCTCTGCAGTTAGATGGCAATGTTCTCGATAACTTTGCTGAATTGAAGACCATTGAAGGCTTACAAGAAGATTCAGTATTAAAGGTAGTTGAAGGTAAGAACGGATGTACAAGGAGTAGTTGAAGGCAAGAGTTGCTATCTTGAGCAAGATTCATGGAAGGAAAGTCCTTCCTAAGAATTCAGTCAGCCATTTATCTCTAGATGGTGTCTTCCAGATATGGTTGATTCCAAGCCTATTGGCTTGGAATTTGGGGGAATTTGGTGTATCTGCATGGACTATTTTAAAGATGGTTGCTGTAACAGCTGATATCGGAGGGCTCAAGCATCCAGATGTTCCTCTTGATTTTCAAAAGATGGAATTGATCAAGAAAAATCTTAAAAAATATGTAAGGCTCAGGAAAAGACCATGTGAAAAGCACAAAAAGTGGAGACATTACATTTCCTAGATTCCAGGAGATTGTAGCTGCCTCTGCAATAGTTTTAAAGACAATCTGTGCAGAATATATTTTATTAAGTAACTTTGTATTGGTAACTTACAACTTTAAGTGGAATATTAACTTCAGGCATCGCTCAATTGAAGCTGATGAACCCAACATTTTTAATATTATCCATTTTAATGCTTGTTTTGCACATTGCATTTCAATTTCAAGTATACTAAATTGTGTTTCTTTTTAATCTAAGTAGGAAGATAGGGCATAATTTCATAAAGTAGAGAGCTGAATACAGCTTAAGTTTTCAAACTTAAGACTGTAATGGAACCTGCCAATTATGGCCACAAGTGACGACAGATGTAAAATGGCCCATCATATGACTGACCCAATTTTATGACTCTCTTTTTGTGGTGGTTGTTAAATGAATGCCAGGTTGTTATGCGAATATATTGCTCATTAGGAGACATTTTTGCCCAAAGCATCATGAATTGTCCCGGGACAATGGGACGCTGCAAATGACTGTAAAAGTGGGCCAGTTGCCAAGTGCCCAAAATGCAGTCACATGATCTTGCATGGGCTGGCCATCAGAACTTTGGAACTGGGTCGTAAATATCTTTTGGGGATGGGGAGTTAGCTGTGGTAATCAGCAGGTTCTGACCAGATCTGGAGAACCAATAGCGGAAATTTTGAGTAGTTCGGAGAACCGGTAAATATCACCTCTGACTGGCCCCCATCCCCATCTATTCTCTGCCTCCCGAGTCCCAGCTTCGGAGGAAATGGAGATTTTGCAGTATCCTTCCCCTGGAGTGGGGTGGGAATGGAGATTTTGCAGTAAACTTCCCCTGGAGTGGGGAGGGAATGGAGATTTTGCAGTATCCTTCCCCTGCCATGCCCACCAAGCCATGCCATGCCCACCAAGCCACACCCACAGAACTGGTAGTAAAAAGTTTTGAATCCCACCACTAGGGGGAGTCCTTTGTACTTTCAAATGGTTGCAAAGCCACCAGTCATAAGCTGACAGTTATCTGTAATTAGTTTTCTTCGCTTGTTTTTTTTTTTTACTTTTGTCGTCTACTCTCCATACTTGAAACCTTCCCAGAGCCATATACAGTTCGAGAAGCTCGGATACACGTCCGTCACGTCCGGGATCTCCTCAAGAGCCTTGATCCATCAGATGCCTTCAACGGTGTTGACTGCAACTCGCTGTCATTCCTCTGCGTCTTCACCGATGGGGACCTTGGAGGTATTGAGAAATATGGGCGCATGTGCAGTGGGAAGGAAATGCCTTGATGAGTCTCTGGAGCTTCTCAAACATTCAGGTCGTGATTGTCTCAGTTCTAAGTTAGAACTGAGGAAGCTTCTTGGATGAGAAGCGAAACATTTTCAAGAGAAAAAAAAACTCCAAGAAAGTTCACCCAAAGGTGCTTTTTCAAAAGACAACTGGACTTTTTCGTTTTTTGTTTTGCTTCTCATTGAAGAAGCTTCTTCAGCTTCAATAGAATAGAATAGAATAGAATAGAATAGAATAGAATAGAATAGAATTCTTTATTGGCCAAGAGAGATTGGAAACACAAGGAATTTGTCTTTGGTGCATAAGTTTTCAGTGTACATAAAAAGACAAGATACATTCATCAAGAATCATAAGGTACAGCACTTAAGGACAGTCATAGGGTGCAAATAAGCAGTCAGGAAACAATATCAATATAAATCGTAAGGATACAAGCAATAAAATTACAGTCCTGCAGTCATAAGTGGGAGGAGATGGGTGATAGGAACGACCAGAAGACTATTAGTAATAGTAATGCAGACTTGGTGAATAGTTTGACAGTAGTGAGGGAATTATTTGTTTAGCGGAGTGATGGCATTCGGGAAACTGTTCTTGTGTCTAGTTGTTCTGGTGTGTAGTGCCCTATAGCGTCGTTTTGAGGGCAGAAGTTGAAAAAATTTATGTCCAGGATGCGAGGGGTCTGTAAATATTTTCACAGCCCTCTTTTTGACTCGTGCAGTGTATAGGTCCTCAATGGAAGGCAGGTTGGCAGTAATCGTTTTTTCTGCAGTTCTGAGTTCTGAGCTTTCTTTCAAAGGGCTAACTTTTCATTCTCTTCTCGGAAGCATGAATTGGACTACAGATGATAAATTCGTTTGTCCTCTCTTCTAAGTTCACCTACTGGGTCTCAGGGTGTTAATATCTTTTTTTTTAAAATCTCACCCCCTCCCATGTTTTAATTCTAGAGAGCGGCAAGAGGAAGAAGAAGGGTACAGAATTGGAACAGATTGACTGCACCCCTCCTGAGCACATCTTACCTGGGAGTAAAGAGAGGCCCCTCTGCCCTCTTCAGCCTCAGAACAGAGATTGGAAGGTAGCATCCCTAGATCTGCCAACGGGAACTGATAATCTCTTCCAGTACTTGTTCAAAATGCCTCTTTCCACTCACATGTCTCCTCCCAGATAAACCCCACCTTTATTATTCCATGTCAAGGAAGCCCAACAAAGAGGCAGGCATTGCTTGGTCAGCCACATAGTGGGTATTCCTGTCCGAGTTTGTTGCATACATTCAAATCCAGAAGCACACACAGGTAACTGATGCAGCAGGGTTCATTAACTTCTTTATATACATGAGAATAGATGTATAAATGTACAATACCAGCAGGTGTTTCTTCCAAGTAAACACAAGGCAGGAGAGTTACAGGCAAACACAAGCAGTTAGCTTCATTTCAGCAGACAAGCCCAGACGGACTGCTTGTTTACTTCTCAGAGCAGCAGCCTTCTTAAGTTTCTGTTTCAATTCTCTGCATAGACTTCTTTAAGCACCCATTGTCTGACTTAGTTGCTTTGCTTATTCATTGGCGAGTTTTTTCCCATGTCTCTCCCAGTCATGAATATTTTAACAATTTCCAACGTAAATTCCAAAGGGAGGGGAAAACATTGAAATACTACCAATGGGGACCGGTCCATTCAGTAATGTTATGTATATGTATTGTGTATTTTTTGGCTGGTGGCGTGGGAGAGGGAAGGAGGGACAGAGAGAAAGAAAAAGAGAAAGAGACTGAAAGGGAAGTAGAAAGCCAAATAACCCCGCCCCCAAATGCAAGGTTTATTTTTCTTTTAAAAATACAGGAAGCCATTTTTAATACAGGTAATGATAGCCCTTGTTTAGTAACCACTCCAGGGGTGGGATTCAGCTGGTTCGGAACAGTTCAGGCAAACCAAATGCTAATTTTATATGTGGTTTGCTGAACCGGTAGTTACAAGGACTGGCTGGCCCTGCCCACCCCTCCTAGGAGTCTCTGCGTGGCCCGTTTTGGATGCCAGATAAGTGCAGGGCCTTTGCAGAGGCTTTGAGATTTGAGAGGGTGAAAAACAGGCCTCCCGGAAGTCCGGAAACAGAGGAGGCCATTTTAGCCCTGGAGGCTCTGGAGCCCGGGGAGGGTGAAAACGCGCCCCAGCCGCTGTGGTGCAGGAAGCTGAGTAGGCAACTCCCACCATGGCCACGCCCATCCAGCAACCGGGCAGAGAACCGGTTGCTAAAACTTTTGAAACCCACCCCTGGACCACTCGTCGTTTTACAAAGGGTTGAGGCAGTGATTGGGTGCCCAGCAGGGGTGGGTTCTGGTTGTTACTACTGCCGGTTCGTTTATGAGCAATAAAAATTGATCTGCGCATGCGCAGAACCAAAAAACAAGATGGCAGAACCAGGAGAACTGGTTCAGGAGAATGGCAGGCCTGGGTTGCTGCCGTTTCCTACCGGTTCGGAATGGTTCGGCTGAACCAGTAGTAACCAGTTCAGCCGAACCAT